TCCAGTGTGGAGGTGACATTTTAACCTGTTTGTTGTTAACCAACAGGAGCCATCAGCTCAGATGAACGTCAAATCATCAGATCTCCACCTGCTACCCCTCTCTATTTACATCATCAGAACTCTACCTGCATCTTCTCATCCTAGAAAGCAAATCCAGCAAGCCATTGAGGTTACCAATGTTTTCTTGCCTAGTTCTATTCTGCACTTCTGTAAAGGCTCAGCCTTTACAGCACTGAGCATCAGTTCAGCAGATTGTATGCCAGTGCTACCGGCTGGAGCAACTGGGGAGGGAGCCAGACACAGGAGCTGTATAATACATACAGTGAATCCTCAGATGGCATGAAAAAGGTGTTTGCTTGCCATTTCATGACTTGATAAATACCTCAGTCTGTCATTGGCTTTTACGACAACAGGAAGAAGTAGGCTTTGTGCCTCAAAATGTAGTCTGTCTAGAAGCTCCATTTCCAGATGCACAGGGCTGTTCACTCCTCTGGGGACAGTGTATCTCCCACTCAGCATGAACAGAGTTACCTTCACCATCTCTATCTAGCAATACACGGTTAAAGCACTCACCTTCTATCTCACTTGCAGGGTGAGATTGAAGTGTGAGGAGGAAGCATTTCCATGGATTATTCTCCCAGTGGTGGTGTGGGCTTGCCAGCTCCAGGCAGACTCTCTTTCTCCCTCTCCACCATGCTTTGGTGCAGTAAGACATGTGCTTCTGTGAAAGAACTGTGGACTGAATCTCAGTGGAAAGTAGCCCTTCAAAAATAGCAATTTTTTAACTGAATCATTTTCCAAATCACACTCTAAAATTACTTCCTTTCCTGGCAAGCTCCCGGCAGTTCACAGGCAAGTGTGGATTTGGAGGCTGCAGGTTTCACAAGAGCTGCATTGATCCCATTCTGCAGACACTTGAAAAATATTGGTAACAAGTCTGCATCCATCTGTCCACACATCTCTCCATCCACCCCTCCCCTCTGTGGTAGTAGGAACCTGAAGCTGCTTTGATTCAAGCCTGGGAAGACTGGGAAGCCAGCTGTTGTAATCGTTTTACATTTCAGCACAGCTTTTTATTTTGTTTCTCTCAATATCCTTCTGAACAAAATAGACAGTAGTTCAATAGACAAAGGTATAATGCAATGGATGAACAATTGGCAGCTAGATTCAGTCAGCTCAAAGAGTCATAGTAAATGCGGTTATTTCAGGCTGGTCACCCGTCACTAGTAGGGTTCCTTGGCACTCCACTTTAGTGCCAGTTTTCTCTGTTTATAAGTAATCTGGAGCTATTGACTCCTTTGAGGGTAGAGAGGTCTTGCAGAGAGATCTTGGCAAATCAGTAGGCTGGACAGTCACCAACGGCATGATGTTTAACAAGAGCAGTGCCAGAGATGGGGCAGCCCTGGATACGCGTACAGACTGGGGGAGAAGCTGAAGCCCCTGGGTTTGCTCAGCACAGAGCAGAGGAGCTGAGGGGAGGCCTCATGGTGGCTGCAGCTCCTCAAAGGGAGTGGAGGGCAGCGCTGAGCTCTGATCTGTGTGACAGCGACAGGGCCCGAGGGAACGGCATGGGGCTGTCAGGGGAGGGTTGGGTGGTCAGGGAAAGGCTCTGCCCCAGGGGGCGGTAGGCATGTCCCAGTGCTGGAGCTTAAGGAGTGTTTGGACATCGCTCTCAGCCATAGGGTTTGGGGTCAGTGATCTTTGCAGGTCCTTTCCAACTTGGGATATTCTGAGATGCTATGACTGACTATGGAGACCACGTGTTCAAAAGAAGTTTGCACACAGCAACTCTTACCTCTTTCATCATGATAGAGAGGGAGTTTTTTTTCCAAAGAGCTTCTCTTTTTTCCTCAAAGTTATTGTCAAGAGGAATGGTAGGCTGCATCACACTTTCACTGCCTAATTGGCCATTCAGACCTTTCAGAAATTCTACCCTTAGCTTGGAGAGCTGAAGGATATCAGTCTGTTCTGAAAAGCTTGGCCTGGGTTGCACTGAACAAGATGAGCTTTAAAAAAAAAAAAAAAAAAGGACATCATGGTTGTTTCTCATGGAGTTTTAGAAAGCTGTATTTCCATTGTTAAGTGCATTAAAAGCCCTTGAAATGCCTAGACACTAACAGACTTCCCTACGCAAAGATATAATAGAAAACTAATTAGCAAAACAAATAGGAAGATTACCCACCAGAGTGGAAGGTTTGGCCACAAAATGTGAGGTTTTATGCTGCCAAAGACTGAGATGAAAATAACTCATTTGAATGCAAAACAAACCGCACAAGATGCTGGGTGCCTTCAGCTTCCATTGGCTTTGTTGGCAAGTAAGAGTACATCAGCATTTTCAGGATGCTCATAGCAGGGGACAGGATCACACCTTTTGAAATTGGCTAGCAAGCCAAAACTCACATGTACTTGACTCCTATTTCTTGCCGTGACTTGATTTTGAGTTTGGGAACAAAGGAAAGGGTTCTCAAAGGATTCTTGAGTTTATCTTATCAATTTCTTCAGCTCTGCTCTGACAATAGTGCTCCAGATGGGATAACAAGGTTTTACACAGCACAGAATCATCTGATAAATGTTTCAGCCTCAAGTCTCAAGACTGACTGTATGCTATAGCCCATAAAATGAGTTGGTTTTAACTCCACAGGCTACAGTAGCTAACACGTATCTTCAAGACAAGCTATCTGTCTGCCTGTTTTCTCTGTTCTCTCTCCTCCCCCCAGAAGTTCACCCCAACACGGTTAACAGACAAGAGAGTATATATGGCCATTCAGGTTACTGCTCTGGTGTTTTGTTTCAAAAGCCATCAAAACACTTCCTGAGGAAGAACTGGAGTTAGGAATGTCTAAGGTTCCATGTAAACAGTCTTCTGCCTTTGCGTTTTGCATGTCTTTCATTATCTCAATCTGTTCTTGTTCTAAGTATCAGGAAGGAAAAGTGAAGAAGAGTGCCATTATATTTCATGTACTTTGGTAAGCATCCAGCTAACCAAAAACTGAAAAGTGATTTCATTGACATGTGTTACAAATCAAAAACTAAAGAATATTGGACTGCATAAAGAGTAAAGGAAAAGTATCTGCACAGTATTCACAGCTATAGTAACATTTACAGATGCATAATTTGTCTTTGGTCATCATCAGTTTAGAAAATCTGTCTGACTACTTCAAATCAGCCATACACTTGAGGTCAGAAACTGTACTGCACATTTATTTCATGAAGCCAGAGACATCTCCACATAATTACCTGAGACTATTCCATGTCAATATCGTGGTTAAAAGCTTCTAAATTAACCAATTGCTTTTTTTTTTCTCAGCACGTATTTGTTGCGACATCAGTGGGAACATACAGGGGTGAAGCTTGAAACCAAGCATCCATCCATCTGTGGAGGTTTTAGTACCACTGAGGTCAAAACCAGTGGACTTGCTAACGTGGGTGGAAGTCATACAGTCAAAGCATGGGTGGGAATCTAATGATTTCGCCCACACAAGAGGAGAACCATTCCCTTGAAAGGTTCAACAGTAGCTGGGCTGTTTTAAAATGCCATAATAAATGGTATCCTCTACTTGTGGGACATGATATTCAGTGTTACAACCTGTTTCCAGACAATGGTTTAATTAAACATTTAATGAACGCATCTCATTTCTTTGCACAAGCTCCACTCTAAACAGCTAAGATAATAACATAAGCATCACAGTTGGATTATTAAAATGAGAGTCTTCATGAACGCCGTCCCCCTGGCAAACAAAATGGCTGACACCCTGCAGGGGAAGCTGGGTCCCAGCGAACCCACAGCGCAGTGACCCAGTTTTAACATGAAACCAGATTTATGGCTGACCATCAGCATTTAAAAAATTGCTCGGCAAACAGTTTTAAACAGTGATTTTTTTTTGCCACGTCTGGTTATTTTATTCAATTAATTAAGCAATTCATTTAATCATCAATTGCCTTTAGGAGTTCTCCCTAATTAGAGATTCAGCACCAGCTTCAAAATATTTCCTCAAACAAACTCTGGTACCCGTATCAAATCGACAGAAACTGGGACCTTCCTTAAAGGCAAAGTCTCGTGAGGACTTGCATCCAGAACTCTGAGTTTGTCCAGCAGTTAGCTGCTTACAAAAGGACCGTGCATTCTCATGAAGAACTTTAATTTAAAAAAATTGATATAGACTTTTTTTTTATCACCCCATAGCTAAAAAAAAAAAGAAAAAAAAAAAAAGCATTTTTGCAAAACGGTGACAAATCTCAAGAGTTAAAAACCTTAAGAGAAATAAGTTGTCAAAACATTCTGAAAATCTGACAAAGCTTTAATTCTCACAGGCTGCGATTCAATGACACTCAGAATATCGTCTTTTCAGTGCTGGAATAGCCAAGCCATGTTCTTTATTGCTTGAGTTTATTTCTTTCGTAAGAAACTTCTTTCTTCACTCTAAGCTTCTTCCATTTCTTGATGGAAATTCACAAGAGCATTTCCTATCTATTATGCAATTCCAATCAGCATCCCACCAGTGGCATCCTTCCATAGGCAGCGCATCACCCGAAAGGAGATGTATGGTCCATATCTGACCAATTACATCACACTTGTTTTGATGGGGTCTTGATTAAACCTTTCTCACTTCTCGCTTCTTTTGTCCTTGAGATCTGCAATGACTTGCACAGCTACTGAGTTTGTGGTTTACTGGCTTGTTTTATTTTTATTTGGTTTTAGATTTATAGTGGTACACCACTGATACTTTGAAACAGCAGCCCCATTTTATTGAGGGCTGCACATGATTTCAGTCCTTTTGAGACTGAAAATCTTCTCCAGTACTTCTGCTTGGACACACTCCTTCCACCTCTGCAAACAAAATGCTTTAACACAGAAGCAAGAATGGCAAAGAACTTACGATTAAGCCCATCAGTGGCTACCGAAACATGACAGTCGAGTACACTGTAAACTAAGTTGTTCCATTTGGAACAGGCTGCCCAGGGAGGTGTTGAGGACCCGTTCCTGGAGCTGTTCGGGAAACATGGAGCTGTGGCGCTCAGGGTCTGTTTGCACTCTCAAGCCCCCGCTGGCAGGACTGCCACCACTCCCATCCTCTTTGCAGCACTTTACTGGCGTGAGTTACAAGCAAAGAAATCCAGCTACCGTTGAACTGAGTCTCTCGGGAAGGGGCTGCGGTTCTTCCTGCAGTCCAATGGACAGCGGAGGCTGCAGCGAGCGTCCTGCAGAAACGGCTTGGAGAAAAGCGACCTTAGAGCCGCAGGCTCCAACTAAGCTAGAGCTCGGTACCGGCAACGCGACCGGTCGCGGCGCTGAGTCTAACTTTGCACAGCCCAGAGACTGGAATCAGAGCAGCTCCTCGAAACGCCTGCGATTCATTCGCTCCCTGCGCAGAGCGGCTGCACCGAAGCCGCCTTTTTTGGCGCGGGGCAGCGGCACGAGCAAAGCCGCCCGCGAGGCCACGCGCCCCTCAGCGCGCGAGCCCTCCGGCGCTCGGGGCGGGCCCGGGCCGGACGGCGGACCCCCGCGGGGGCCGCGACGGAGCCGCCCCGCCCCGTCCCGTCCCGCCCCCGGCACGGCGGCCC